AGTTTTGCTAAATATCTGGATTATGAGCTGTAGAAGTCTTTCTGGTCTAAACTTATGTGTGATACTTGACCATAAAAACTAGACACACCTATTGTTTGAAAGCAATTTTTTATTCCTGGAAAAGTTAAACATAGTTTTCTTCTATTTTAGCACCTGTTTAAGTTGTTTTGAAAAAAATAATACATTATTAAGGACTATTTGTTAAGGACTATAATAATACATTATTAGGAGTATTTGTTTATATTAGCATGTTAGATTTAGAAACTGGAGTCCTTTATTGTGATTCTGTAGCTGAAGTAAAGTTGAATCTTATGTAGAATAAATTCCTACTTTACACGTAGTGAGGAAAATATAGTAAAAGCACAAAATCTGTTTTACTGGCTCAGAATAGCTTTCTGTCTAACATGTATCCTGTCTCTAAGTACTGCTTGGAGCAAATGGTTGAGAAAAGCCTACAAGAAACAAAGCAGGCATAATCCCCCTCTTGCACCTTCCTACTTTTTATCTCTCACTGTATTACAGAATCTCTGAGCTGGTCATGGTCTCAGGATCACTGTGCTCTAACTGTCCTTTATAAATGTGTCTAATTCCTTTTTAGAGCTATTTAGACTTTTCCACCCTCTGGGAAAGGTTTCATATACCATTATCATATTCCTTTATGTGATATTTCTCCAGCAGGAGAACCCTAGCCCACAAAATCTCACATTGGGAAATGAGGTCTTCCAAATCTCTGACAGCATTAACTATCTCCTCCTACACCTCTGCAGGCTCTGCTACCTGTTTTTTGGTTGAATGACCAAATGTACTACACACAGTACTCAGGGTGTAATTGCACTACGGATGGCATAATGCTGTTTCCTGTTTTAGCTTCAGTTCCCTTCTTGACATTGCTGACATTATGTTTGCTTTTTGATTCCCCATGGGCTTAAGCTGGTGTCATGAAGATCTTTTCTCTGAGTGTTAATATTCACTTTAGAGCCCATCACTATGTATGAGTGTATGCATAGTTAGCATTCTTTTTTCCCTTTCTGCATGTCTTTGCATTTATGGAGATAAAATTAATCGTCCATTTTAACACAGTGTTATGAGATTGTTCTTCAGGTTCTCACAAGCAGTTTTAATTTGATTATCTGGAATAAGCTTTCTGAGTCTTTCATCAATATCTCAGAATCAGGAAAGTGATTTAAGAATCAAAAGATCCTGAGAAAGAACTCATGGCAATTTTTATTTACCTTCTTTATGCTTGATCCCTGAAGATGATTATTTGCATAATTTTATTCACCAGTAAAAAGGACTAAATCTGTGCTAAAAGAGCCAGAAAGAGAGTTAATACAATCATCTTATTTCTGAAACGAAGGCTTTAAGAATGCATGGTAACAGCAGCTCCATTTAATTAGCTGAATTTAATTACTCCACAGAAATGAAACCAGCTGGCCCAACTTAGCCATGGAAGAGTGGGGTATTGAAATCCAAAGCTGGACAGCAGGGACCCTTTGTATCTGTACACACCTCCAAAGGGTGTTTCACCCCACCCTCAGCTTTTGTGCTAAATGAGATGGATTTTCCTTCTGACACCCCAGGTCTAGCGAGGTGGATCTAAAGGGAATCAGCGGGGATCGACTGATCGATGGGTGAGAATAGCATGGAGGTTTTTGAAGTACATGAGATGCTTTTCACTTCAGTCTTGGCACACTCTAGGAAAAGCCTTCCCCTTTATAGATCCTGAGGCAACTAGTTTGGGGGATTGACAGAGAAATTTATTTCGTGTGGGATCTCCAGCAAAATTGGTCTGACAAAGCAGCAACAGCAGGCATTACCTTTCTTTTTTCTGTAAGGCACATCAAGCCTTTTACACTTGTCCTTTATTCCTGTGAGACTCCTGCTCATGCTGTGCCACTGAAGAGCTGTGTAAGAGGAGAACAGCAGCCAGATCTGGCTTCACTTTGTTGCTTTGAGAATGTTTTCTAGAATGCACTAGGTGTTTTCTTCTTAAAAGAAATACAGGTATTCTTGGATAGAGTCAGGACTGTTTTTGATTAAAAACTGCAGGTAAAGGGGAAATTTTGTAATATATATATGCACAAAAAATTTTTAGTTTTAAAAATTATTTTCTCTGGAATTATCTATCCATCTAAAGGCTTGGAAAAACTTGAAAAGATAAAAATTTGAGGCTGAGTTTATATTCTCTTAATCCAAATTTGAAATGTGACACAACAATAATGTAGTATCATTAAAAATGCTACACAGTTTTTCGAGAGTATTCATTTTAAGAATTTCAGGAAATAAAACTTGTGGCTTTAGAAAATTTTGCTGCTGTTATATCTATTAAGTAAGGAAAAAGAGAACTTTGCATTAAGGGAACTTTCTGAGAAATAATGCTAATGTTTAATTGCAACTTGGTGACCCAGTACCCGGGTTGTTTTGAGTAAGAGTATATAATTACTAAGAGTATATAATTACTCAGAAATTCATATTCATTTGTGATATACCAGCCTCACAGTTTAGTGAAACTCTCCTATAGCTTGGTAAACTGCAGGACACTGAATCTGGGAGTTTCTGAATAATTTATCTGAAGTAACGAGTATCATCATGTGATGCTGTATCAAAGCAACTGCTCAAGTGAAAGCCAGCTGGGTACAGCCGTTGTATATCAAATAGCTGCTTGAGCTGTCTCTCTGGAAAAATTAGAGAACATAATGAGCAAAATTAGAAAACCTGGGGAGCAGCCTCCATGGATACCTATTAGCAAGAAGTAATTTAATTAGTGTGAAATCTGTGAAAGTTTGTTATTTACAAAGCTTTGTAGTGTTATAAGAGAAATACATGTCTACATACACACATCTATTTATACAGCATGGACATAAATATATATAAAGTATGAGATGAGTACTTATTTTGCTGTGTCAGTTTTATGAAACACTAATAGAATATTGGCTCAAAATCTAAGGACTCATTTGGTGCCCAACAGAAACTTCTGGGTTGCTTCCCAAAAGGCTTTATACAGTCTCACTAAAAGTAAATGCTTCAAACACCAGATCCAGGAGAGGTTGAAAAGAGATTTGCTAAGGAAAGATGCACAGCTCTGTTAAGTATCAGATTGATGCTTTTATGAGGCAGGTCTATTGAGAGTGCCATTTGTGCCACTCTGCCTGATGCTGACTAGGAATGCAGAAACGTGAAGTGCAGAACTGACGGAGAGAAGGACAGACCTGCCGAATTTTCAGCAGTCAATGGATGATGCAGCTGGTCTGCATCTCTCAGGATCAAGCCCTGCTATAAACATTATAACTTCTTTTACTAACTTGTCTCCTGGTCTTTTAGTAAATCTAGGGTCAGAGTGGTTTAACAGTGAAGTCATTTATAACACTTTTTGGATCCACAGTTGTAAATCACAAAACCAATTTGAGGATCTATTTGTGTCAATGGCTTTTGTAGCTATGGCTAATTGTTTTTATCTGAGAGACATGGGAGAAATACTGCTTCATAAGGTTGTCATTAGCCTGGGAAAAAAGAGGCCATTGATTAGAGGCATGAATAGAATGGCTTGTAAGCCAAATTACCAGTTGGGAATTCCCGAATGGCCAAGGGCAGAGCCTGTCTGAACTTAGCAAAACTCTGCATTGCAGTGGGGAACTCTCTAAGGGATGCATTATCTTGTGATGTTGACCTTAAATCAAGTCTTTTTTGGAGGAAATAAACCAAAAGGCTTTTATTTTCAATAACAGATTTGTAATATACTAATTCAAATATGATCCAACACCAGAAAAATTCTATAGCAATTCACAGTGACAGGCATATTTTTAATATATATTTAGGTACATATCTGCAGTATGATATGCAAGCAAGAAAAGGATCCTTCTATAGTACATGAAATGTGAATATTGCATCATTATTACACAGGAATTTGAAAGGGGAGGGCTTCACAACAATTCTCTTACGTATACTAACATAAAACAATGACACTCCTAAATTGTAAAAATAACCAGGAGAAATGATACATACATTTAGACAGTGCTTTTGTTTCTTTTCATTGAAAGATACTTTATAAAAATATTCTTTCCAAATGATAGTGTTGTTTAAAAGACATTAATTAATAATGACAAAGTGGAATCCTTGGGTATCCAAAGACCTACTGATAGTCTGTTAAAATTGTTTGCTAAAAACATACAAACATTAAATGTGCATTGGAATATTCTTATGATTTATTGAATTTTGCTAGCTAAAATCTTTCTAAAGGAATAAATACTAGTAAGTTCCCTAACCTTAATGTGAAATGAAGTGGTCCATTCCACATGTGTGTACAGAAGTGTGAATCATCAGTACATCAGCTTGTTTACAATTTAATGGTGAAAGGTAAAATTAAAAGAAAATTAATTAATAAAAGCAATTTACAATATTTACAGGCTGAACAGGCTGAATGAAGTATTTTACTCTTTTTTTTCTTTTTTTTTTTTCTTTTTTTTTTCTTTTTTGGCATAAAGGGTAACTGAGTCAAAATGGAAAGGACAAAGCCAGTCTCTTTTACAAAATCTAATTTGACCTACAGGTTTTGGACCATTACAGGAACACATATACTTGTAGTGAAGTCCACACTATTGTGATATCTAGAATGTCATCTTTTTAATGATTCTAGTTAAATTGCTAAATCTGTGATGAGAAAAAACAGAAATTTCATTTAGCCTTGTGACTCTCATCCATTAGCCTTTTAAGAGAGCTTACATCAGCTAGCCATCAGTAGCACATTGTGGCACACATATCTTAAAATTCATTTGTCAAATTATAGTTAGCATCGACGGACAAAGCTCAATAACACATTTGGAAGAAATAGTTTTTACTGGAGCTTTAAGCACACTGTCCCAAGAACCACAGTGTGTCCTGCCAATTTCCCTTTTGTGGAAGATGAGGTTGGTGAGTGGTTCTGCACCTCTGTTAGAGCTCACTGTCTGTTCTGCAGAGAACTGCTGTAGTGATAGCTGTTTGAGGAGCTTTTACCTGTTTTGTTTTCCTCCTGGATCCCACCAGTGGCACTGTTCTCTTTTGCCAGTAATTGGATTCTGAGTATTCTCTGATTTCCACTCCCTCCCCTGGAAAAGCGAGGCAAAACAAAGATGCAACATCAGTCTACTGCCTACTGGAATTATTAGTGTTTAAATGCTCTATCACCACTGGGCTGAAAATTGAGTTGTTTATTATCAATTTGAATGCCATTCTGGAGATCCACTACAGTTAGCACTGCATTACTTTCATTATAAAATCAATTTCCTGGAGATTCCTATCTCCTTTTGTTTAATATATACCACATTGAAAACTGGCATAGAGAAGCTGGTGCTCTTCCAAGGTAGAAGTATTGACTGCTGAAGAGGAGATGTAGTTAGAATAGGAAAAAGCAATAGATTTCCCATGTTTCAGACTGGCTGATGCTCTCTAAGCCTAAAGGACACATCTTAGTGATTTTTTACTTAAAAGTCCCCATTCCCACTTCAGCCTTGTGGGGAACAGCTCCCATTCTATCCTGTCTTTCAAGAAGTTCCTCCTGATTAATCCCAGCTGTCCTTTTCCTCTCACCTCTCAGCTGTCCTTCAGTGAGTATTTCCCAGGGATGTACTCTAGACTCCAGCCTCGGTACCCTCCACTCCTGCCCCACGGAGAGCAGGGAGGTCGGAGCTCCTTCTGGGATGGCAGGTGGGGCTGCCTGCCCTGAGGGACCCTTGTGTTCCTGGAGGCTCTGGCATGGTGGGCACTGCAGAAGGGAGCTGCTGTGCCCAGCTCTGAGCAGCCAGGCTTGTGCTCTGCCAGCTGAGCACAGCAGCCTCAGCCACCCCGTGCTCAAAACCAGCTCGCCTGATCCCGCAGATCTCAGACTGGGAAATCCCCACGGCAACAAGGGAATGTAAAATGTATTCAACGTGGAGAAGTTTATAGCTGCCTTTGCTTATGCTCTGCCAATGTCACTGCAATCACAAGGTTACAGGAACAACAAGGACGCTACATCATGCTATTAATACGTCTGGTTTGGGGCTTTTTTAAGAGGATTTTGCAGCTTTAACAGTTTTATGTGCCTACAGATACTCTTAGTCATGGATTTATTAGGATATTTTTTCTCTTTAAGTATTATTAGATATATCTTCAGAAACAGGGTTTAAACCTGTCTCTTTTGAGGTAATTTAATATGTAGAAAAAGCTCAACTTTTCTTACTTTAGACTAGAGGGCACTTCAACTCTTAAACTTTTTATCATCCTCATAACCTTTCTTTACCTCATTTCTATTCATCCTATTTACTTTTCCATCTCTCTTCTCCTCCTCACCCTCCAAGCAATCTTAGCAGATGCTAAAGATGTCAGGCTGATAGCTCTGCAGATACAGACTCTTTATCAGATTTTAAAGATGTTGTTAATTCAGGAGTAAGCAATGTTAGTCCTATATCACAGATTATCTGTCATGGACTTAACCCAGGCCCCTATTTAGAGAAGGAAAATCTATACACCATGGTCTTTATCTTCCTCAGTGGTGACTGCTGAAATATTTGCAGATTGACCACTAATGATGAATTAGTATGTAACAGGTGTATGCTACTCTGCATTGTGGCATTGTGTCAGAAGCTCCATGTTTGATGGCATTTGGGCTGTTAACCAATTATAATCATGGTTATTTAGTATTTGCACCACATAATGCCCCAGATAACCCACTGTAAATGAATCACTAAAAGCACAAAACTGAAAGCCACAAGTGCTGAGCTAATTAGAAAAATACTAGACAAAATGAAAAAAAAGAAGGAAACACTTTTTTTTAATATAATTTATTAAATTCTCCTCTAATCCTCTCTTTTTAGAGCAGTTTAACATTTACATATTTTCCTTTTGCTGTGTATCATAAACAAGGCCTATTTTCTACTGCATTTTTTCTTTTTAATCACTTCTGTCTGTTTCCCTAATTTTTTTTATTTGTTAAATTCTCCTTTTCTGCTTGTGTGTCTTTTAATTAGACATTTTCCCATCATCCCTTTTTCTGTAGAGTTTATCCAAACTCTTAAGGCCCTATTTCTGTAGCCTGCCCTTGGATTTCTGCCTTTGCCCAGGCACAGACCAGTGAGGTACAAGGAATTGCAGATGTCATTATTCTGCAATTATTTTGTGTGTATGTAAATTGTTTTGTTTTCTCTGTAATTACTTTTTTTCTCTTAGATCCTGGTTGGGGTTTTTTTCTTTATGCAGTTCCTCAGACAGAGGACGTCTTCACTAGACAAGCAGCCATAAAATCCTTCTGTAGGGAAGGAGGCTGTTTACAGTGATGGTTATGCAGAGTAGATTTCCACTCAGTGGATCTAATTAAAACCTAAAGGATGATTTTAGCTCTGATAGCTTCCCATTCCATCATTTCAAGCTAATGTTTTGTATTTAGGGTGTATAAAACTAACAAAAACTTTACCATTGTTTATCAAGCTAACATGCTCTCGTTTCAGGATTATCACCTTCCAAGAAAAGAAAACCTATAGTCTTGTTCTAAAAAAAGATAGATGAATGCTTACTGCATGAAGATAATCCTTACCATTACCTTTTCTTTTTAAAATGCCTGTTGAAAATCATAACTACAAAAAAGGCACATATCAGCCTAGAAGTCTGAAATATCAGTTCAGAAATCCACCATCTTATTAAATTCAACTTTTCAGGCACTTAAGATATTACTGTACAAAATAAACAATACAAATTTAAAATTAGAGCTTGGCAGTTGGCAAAAGAGAGTCACCTGCTTGGCTGTTATGTAATGACATGTCCAAAGTAATTGAGCTGCTAAATTAAACCTTTCCTGTTACAGTGCAGATAACCAATACACTAATATTTGTGTAAATTTGCTGTGCAATTTACAGCAAATCGGGGTGGGGAAGGGGGGAAGTGATGTCTGTATTATATTTTTTGCTTTTAAATTTGGTTTTTTGCATCAATTTTATTCTGAAAGCATTCTCATCTTTTACTGGAAATATTTCCTTTACTGTCTGTCCTGAACTCTAGCTAGCCCTAACCATCTAGTTCTTCCTTAAGCTCGTGTGTCAGTTCAGTTCTTACATGAACTTCCTCACACCCAAGGAGCAGTCTGAACCCACACATGCTTTTGTCCTTGCTATTCCAAAATACATCTTGTGGCTATTGTCAGATTTCAGGAGAATTTATCAGTAGAAAGCTGCTCCAAAATCTTTCTGATACTACAAAAGATGGTGAGAGTTAACTTGTTAAACTTTGCACCTGTATAAGGGAAACTGTTATCTGGCAAAATCGTGTCTGAAGCTGGTGCACAAGCAAAGATTTGAATGTACCTTGAGTTTCTTCTTAGCTCTCCAGGAGTGCCCAGTGCTTTATTTTCTACAGAGAATCTAAAAATACAGTTAGGCAGGGTGTCACCTTCCTGAGAGAAAAGACTTCATCAGATGATTGATAAAGGCATCCTGGCATAGGGAAACAGCTTTATTAAGTGTACAGATAGGACATGTTTTGTTGGCTGTCACCTAAACCTGCAGCACAGACCTGTCCTTCGAACTTCTGACAGGGAAGTACAGAGACTTTTGAAAACCAGGCCTTTTGTACCAGGTTCTTTACCACAAGGAACTCTAATGCAGTAACTTAGTGTTCATCTGAATGCATACTACAATGAATAGTCAATCATTTTTCATTTAATAATATAATGTAGTTTTTCCCATTTGCCACTTGCAGCTGGCATTTTTGCAATGCATTTTATTTTTCAGACATCTTCTAGTTAATCACCAGATAGAGCAGCTGTGACAGCTATCCATTAATTATATCTCTGTATTAAAGTCTAAGGAAAATATGACTTTCAAGGGAAAGTCTCCAGTAGTGCCCAAGTAGCAGCAGTTAAACCAGCACTATCTGGTAGTTGAATTGGTGGTTGATTAAATATTTGTATAGAGATTCACCTAGCTGTATTAACCTCAAATATTATTTATGAACAATTTGCCTTTGGGATTAGAATGAAGAATAGCAAAAGACTTTTAATGTCTCAGTAGTAATTAGTATTGCCTTGATGCACATTTGCAGTATGCCAATCACAGGCAATCCAAAGTCATCCACATGTGTGTCATGGCCTTTCCCTTGATTTAGGCCAAGCAGAGCTTCTGTATTTCAGATACAGGAAAGTAGATAAACTGCCTTATTCTATCTACTTCAATTTATAAAAAGTGAAAACAAAATAGACAGCAAGGGTTTAGAGGTCTTTTAAGATATTAAAAAGTGAGTGATGTGCAAGATGGAAGCAGCTATGTGGCTTCACTGGAAGCAGAAAGTGAAATCAGAAGGCAATACATAAATACATTCCTACTATTGTATCACAGCTCTCCCTGCTCTTGTGACTCTCCAGTCAGTACCTGACTTGTGTGAAGTGAGACAGGATCAGCCAGGGGACATGTTTTTAACCCAAAGGGCAGACTCTCCCTGTGGGCTGGGGCTGGAGAGACCCCACAAGCTGCAGCCATCCGAGGGGGGCAGAAATGAGGGGAGCTGAATTATGCAGACACCTGCATAAGGAATGCTTGGGTCCTGGGTGGGTTCCCAGGAGGACACAGAAAAGCCCATTCAGTAGGTTTCTATTACAATAACATTCAAAAGTCCATAGACTGAAGCTTATGCTAGGGAGGAGGACCTGTTTCATTGATTGCTAGAACTTTCTCATCATCTGTTTTGTATGATTCTGACCTTTTCCTAAATGAAATGGAAACTTTTCAATTTTCTCATTGAAAATAGATGCAAGTACTGTCAGCAGGAACCACAGACATACCATTTCTGCCAACTTTGTGATTTTCCTGTCAGTTTTTTCTTCTTGTTACTGGTATGCCATAATGCTGACAGCTTTTATTCTTTGAACAAAGCCTAGCAAGGAAGTTTCTGTTGGAATGTGATTATTCCTTTTACTGACATAGATGGGGACTGTTCCCACATCTGATTCTGTAACTGTGCTCCTGAAACTGTCACCCTTCACCTTGCTGGGTGTTTTCAGATGCCAAATATTTTCTAGGGTCTGGCAGAATTCCAGAGAAAGTGGTGCTGTTCCTGCTGAAATCATCATCAGATGTGATGAGGAATACAGTCCTGTGTATTTCAGTTGCAATGCATTCAGGCATAGATTTTTACTTACCACAAATGCAGAATATTGCTTCACTTTGAAGTAATTTTTTCTTCATAAGCCACAAAAATGAGGTTCACTGTGGCTACATTTAGAACCCATTTCTCTTTAAATGCTAGCCTTTTCCTGTTTCTCAGAGTGGGAAATGGTGGAATTACATAGCACAGATTTATTGCCACCAAATTTAACACTCCACAAGAAATAATATGTCTATTAGTTCTTCTCTTAGAAGGTTTCATTATGTCCCCAAGTCTAAACCACTTAAAATTTATCTCATCCATTATATGGTACCCACTGCATCTCTGATACAGCAGAATTAAGCCTTCAACAGAGAGAGGTATGAACCTCAGTTTTCACCCTGGCCTGACTGGATGTGCATGAGCTTATCTCTCTGTTCTCTTCTGTGAACTTGAATTTGTCATTGGCTGCCTGGTTGCATTTACATTGTGGGGAAAAAACATCCATAGAGTTTCTGGCCATCTAAATGGATCCTGCCTGCTTTCTATATGTGGACTGCAAAGAAAATCCCAAGATCAGTCATATGGTGCATTTCTCTCCCTGTCACTTACCTCAATAAAGATCAAGGAATCCTGATGGAAATACATCTGAAACAATTGTTTATTAATAAATATAAACTAAGATATATTTCCTCATACACTTGACAAATAATTCCACTCTTCTTTTAAGGAAAATGGGGTGGAGGAAAACAAGATGGAGGAAAATGGGACGGAGAGGTGGCTAAGCAAACTTAGAGGGACCTGTCCAA